GAATCTTTTTTAAAAAAACCTGGTTGATTGCGAGAGCTGGTCAAAAAATGGGATGATTTTTTGGCGAAAAATATGTCTTTTTTTTCAATAAATAATTTGGAATTTCAAAATTTTCCAGCTAGCTTCATGGATTAGCTTTGCTGCAAAATCTAATGCCTAAAGAGAGAACAAGACCAGTTGCTCCAACTGCACCAGAACAATTCAGAACCCTGACGTATCTTGGTGCAAAAACCCAGAACCAGCAAAGGGATCTTGCTGTATTCATTCAATTTTTGATTCTCAACTTTAAATTCCATGGCATTAATAGAAAACAAGCGTAGCTGCTTCTACTGCACCCAAACACCCCAGACCCTGGTGCATCTTGAGGTTTGTTGGAGCATGGATTTTTCTGGTCAAGTAGGAGTGACACCATGTGTTGTCTGTTTTGATAGCTTGGGGCCAAAAAAGTGGTAGGATCCAGCCACTCCAGAACTTGCATATGTATCTTTGGGGTGCCTTTGAGTAGGGATGCATTGGGATCTGTAATTTTTAGTGGAACTGGAACAGTTGCACTCCTCTACTTAGCTGGTAGAATTTTGGGAACAAAAAACTAGCTCGATTCAGCAGGGTCGAGATGCCAGATACATGTTTTTGTGGTGCTTCTGTGCCACTTTGCAGCAGCTAATAGCTGCTATGTTTTGTCTATTTAGTAGAATTTGGGAGCATTGCCATTAAACATTGGCAAGGTCCAGGTATCAGAAATGCATTTTTCCAGTGTTATTAGGCTGGGATGCATGCGGGGTTCAATTTTTCCAGTGTAGTGGGAATGGCGATCCTTGTTTTCTATTTAGATGTAGATTGTAAGCTCTTCGGGGCAGGGACTGTCTACTATTCTGTATCTGTACAGTGCCTCACACAACCCATTCTTGGCTGATCTTCAGGCACTACCATAAAAAACATGATTAATAAGAAATCATACAGTTTGGTGGTTGGAACCAGAAATTGCAAAGCTCCATGGATCCAGGTGCAAAATCCAGGTTTTGCATCAGTTTGTGCTGGATTTTCTGATGCAGTAAGAGCAGCTACACTTGTTCTTTTTTCAGGCATTGGAATGTGAGAGCCAAAATTAATAGGTAGCAGGTTTAAAACAAACACAAGAACGTATTTTTTCATGCAACGCACTGTCAACCTCTGGAACTCTTTGCCAGAGGGTGTTGTGAAGGCCAATACTATAACAGGGTTCAAAAGGGAGCTAGATAGATACATGGAAGATAGGTCCATCAATGGCTATTAGCCAGGATGGGCAGGAATGGTGTCCCTAGCCTCTGTTTGCCAGAAACTGGGATTGGGTGACAGGGCATGGATCACTTGATGATAACCTGTCTGTTCATTCCCTTTGGGGCGCCTGCCATTGGCCACTGTCAGAAGACAGGGTACTGGGCTTGATGGACCGTTGATCTGACCCAGTACGGCCGTTCTTATGTCCTTATGTTCAAAATTGAGTGGCTCTAGTAGGATCCATGCGCTAGTTTCTGCGTTTTTGTGGCATTCATTTGCCAGAATGCACGAGGGTCCAGGTACAGTAAGAGCAGCTAGACTTGTTTAGTTAGTCACTACAATTTAGAGTCTTACGGCCAAGATTTGGCTGGATCCAGCAGGATGCAGGGGCTGGATCAGGGTTTTTGCTGCACTGGTGCTGCAGTAGGCACCAGGGTCTGGAAGCGTGTGTGTGTGCTGCACTTGTTCACTATAGTGATCGTGGGACACTTTGGGGCTTGGTAACACAAATTGGCAGGATCCATTCCAGACGGCTGTAGCGTTACCTTTCCCCCGGTGTGACGCTGTTAGGGCTGCAGATGTTCTGGGAGTGGGGAGCTGCGCTGGAAAACGCGGAGCACGTGCACTTTTCCTTCGGGCTCCAGTAACCAGAGCACTTGCCTTTGGCAAGGCGGCAGAAATGCAACCTCGTCTCCCCGCGCTATGCCGACGCTGCACACAGCAGCAGCAGCAGGTCTCTGCTTGCAGGCGCTGACGGGGCGACACCTCGCCTGCCGCCCCCAGGCAGGCACTCTCCTGGCGGGAGTGGCGGTGTGAACCTCACCCCGCTCTGTTCTCCCGGGGGCTGATGAGCGAAGGGGGCGAGGGCCGGGAGTAGGAACCCCTGACGTTGTCGGTCCCCATTGGTTCTCTCCCGCAGCACATGTTCAGGGGCATCTGGATAAAGACGCCTCTGGCCCCCGTCTGCCTCCTACATCGTCCTCCAGCCTCCACCTCCTGCGGGACACCTCCTAGCGAGCCGGCACGATGAGCATAGACGATTTTGTAGGCAAGTGGAGCCTCATCTCCAGCGAAGGCTTTGAGGAGTACATGAAGGAATTAGGTAAGGAAGCCTTGGCGGGGCAGAGAGACCGTGTGGGATAAAAATCAGCGCTCGCCGTCTGTGGGTCTGAGGGAGGGGAAGGTGGGTGCTGGGGCTCTGTACTTCTGCTCCTGGATAGAAAATAAAGGAATGTCCCCCGCACTCTGGGCAGCCAGGACTTTTCATTCAGGAGCTCCCTGGCTGTTAGGTTTGGGGGAAGAAATGAGGTTTGGTGGACTCTGATTTCTGTGACTATCTCCCTAAATCCCATTGTTGCTGGCTGCCCGCTGGAAGAAAAACGCGCTCTCTCTCGTATACGTGTGTGTAATTTATTTGTATTGTCTGTATGGTCCTGGATGGATGGGGGGGGGGGCGGGAGAGAGGGCAAGGACCTAAGATTTAAGGTGCCCCTTCCTTGGCCCACTGGAGTTAGCTCCACTATGTTAGTTCATCTGGGATCCAAAGCTTTGTGCCTGGTTTCTTCAGCTCCTCAGATGGTCTGTCCAAGGTCTGCGGGGGCGTCTCGGTGCCTGATGCTAGGAGCCGCCTGGGAATAGGTTGCTAACTAAAGTGAAAGGAGACAATTCCCAGGGCGTCAACATAAAAGCAACCGTGCGACCTGGAGCAATGGCTTGAATAGCAAGAGCCTCTCTCCCCTGCTGGCTAAGCTGATGCTGGGCAAAGCACACTCTCATGGAGAGGGGACCTCTTGGAATGGTTTTGGTCCTGCTCTGGGGTTAGGGAGAGGGGAGAAGAACAGAAAACAAAATCTATCCAATATGCAGAAAATGAACGTGTGCATGTTAGTCTTTATTATACTGCACCTGAGATGGGTAGCGCCAATACATCTGTGCGTTCATTGCCTAAACAAAGCATCTGCTGTGAGGCATTTGTAACCTCCTGGTTTGCTGAATGTCTGAACCCCTGGGCCATAATTTGCTCTCAGTTCCACTGAAATAACTGAAATTCCTCCAGATTTTTATCAGTGGAAGTGAGAGCAGATTGGGACTCAGTGGTATATACACCTTGAATTTCTTATTGTTATAAACAAAGTAGCTTGCATATTATCTGGTTTGAGATGAGTTTTTGTGTTGTGCATTAAATCTGCAAAATCAGAGCACACTGGACTGAAACTGACTAGAATCACAGTTCCTTATATTAACATTTCAATAACAGATTGGAAACTTGTGTATGTGCACACATGCTTTCAGTTAAATGACAGTCTTTAGTGTTAAGATCAGGTGGGTAAATGATAGCATGAGAAGAGAATGGAGTGGGAAATCCCCAACTAGAACACACAATTATCAGCTTCTTCCTATTTTCTATTAAATTTGCGCTGTAATACTCTCACATGAATTTGTCTGATAGTAGATTATCAGAAGGGGTCATATCAATGCAGCTGCTACTGGGATACAAAATATCATTGAAAAGACTCTTTCTATTGCTAGATGTAAAATGTATCTGTATTCCTTAACAGTTTCAGTGGTAGCACCATCAGTTCACTTTCTATCCCAAGTATTTTCTTCCTGAATTGCCAATCTCAACTGTTCAAAAATCACAAGGGAGCCCCCTCCTCCCAATTCTGAGATTGGATTAAAAAACTGTTGGAGTCCTTTTAATTTCCCTTATGGGTTTTGAAACTTTTAGGGTCATGTTTTCAAGATGAGCTATGGGATATTCTGATGTGGGGCGCCCCCACTGAAGCTGTTCCCCTGTGGATAAATAATGAAAGAATCATTGGAGCAGGGGGACTGGGTATGCAGATAGCCTGGGGGGGGGGATGTACATTTGGCTACAACAGTTTAATGGCCTTACTGCAGCACAATGTGGTGTGATTGCTCCTTGCCAAGCCACTTGCCGTACTGACAGAAGACTGTACTGCAAGCCAGAGACAGCAAAATTAAAATTTACAGTCAATTTTTCAAAAAACTCCCTTAGGCACTTTTGAAAATCCTACCCTAAGTCTTAAAGAACTCACAAAGAACTTTTAAAAAAATGATAAACTGTTTAATTGTTAATAAATTGCCTCATAACAAGACAGTGCAACTTATGATATTGTAAACATTCATAGCAAAGCAATACAACTTCCTGCTATGCAGCTTATAACATTAAACAAGAGTGAGCACAGGCAATGTTTGTTTAAAAAAAAATCTAAATCCAGATCTTAAAATTCAGACCTTGCAAAGACAGTCTATGTGAAGTACAAAATATAATAAATCGTTAGTTTGAGGTACAAGTCAACCACATACTTGGGAAATTAAAAAGTTAAAGTGAACACACTAGGTCCTTAGCTCATGTCCATCTGTCTCCTCCCCCCATCTGCCCCCAGAAAACAAGTGTGAAAAGAAGTGGTAGCCTGAATTCTGACTTATTTTTTATCACCACCCTTAATGTGTTTATCAACACTTTTTAAAAGAATATTTAGGATAGTGTAGGGCATATTTAGGCTCCACATGAATTTAGATTTTAAATCTAAATAGTTTGCAAGATTAAATGCAGATTTTGCTAGGAGTATAGTTTTGAAGGAGCGAATGGCTCTAAATATAGTCTGCAAGGAATTGTTATCACTTAACAAAGAGCTCCTTCTACAGTTCCTGTCCAGATGATCAGTTCTAAATATTACCTTCAGAGCATGTCTGTCCACAAGCCACAGATTCACATTTTCAGACTCCACCTACAATCTTAAACATTACAAAGAGTTGGTTCTTCAATGATACTTCCACTTCCACCTGTGTCATGATTGGGTCTCAAGATTGCTTGGCTCTTCTGCCTTCCTGATTGGGGGCCCTAACCACTGGACTTGTTTTGGACTACTAGTTTTTCTGGACTACAGAGCATAGGCGCCGACTCCGTGGGTGCTCCGGGGCTGGAGCACCCACGGGGAAAAATCAGTCAAACTCTCCGCCCCGCCCCACCTCATCTCCTCCTCCACCTCTGCCTCCTCCCCTGAGCATGCCGCATCCCCGCTCCTCCACCTACCTCCAAGTGCTTGCCGCCGCCAAACAGCTGTAGCAAGCTCCGGGGGGGAGGAGCGGGAACGTGGCGCACTCAGAGGAGGAGGCGGGGCTGGGGCGGGGATTTGGGGAAGGAGTTGGAATAGGGGCAGGAAGGGGGTGGAGTTGGGGTGGGGACTTTGGGGAAGGGATTGGAATGGGGGCGGGAGGGAGCAGGGCAGGGCAGGGATGGAGTCAGGGCAGGGCCGGGGGCAGAGGGGGCTCAAGCACCCACCGTCGCCAATGCTACAGAGTCTCTCTTTCTCTCTCTCTCTCTGTGCTGCTTCCTCCCCTGCCCCTCCCCCCCAAATAACAGTTTCACTGAGTATAAATACTTATATAGTCATTGGGCCAGAGACAGAATGATTCTGTAGTACAGTGGTTAGAGTACCCATGTGGGATACCCCCGGCCATTTCCCTTGCTCTAATCACTCTTTCATTATTTAGCCACAGTGGAACAGCTTCACCAGGAGAGTGGGCAGCCCCTATTCAAATCCTTTCTTCCCCCTGCCCTTCTGGCAGAGTGGGGAATTTAACCTGTATAGCCCACTTCCCAGGCAAGTACTCGAACTACTGAGCTAAAGCTATTAAGTGGGCTTCTCCTCCTCCAGCTCTTTTGTGCACAGCAAGGCAGGCACCTAACTCATTCCTGCAAGAAACAGTTTAGGTGCTGGAGCCACCTGACTCCAGGCATCGGCTTTCTGTTCATGGATCACTATTGCTAAGCAAAGATAGGCACCTCCCTGCAGCCTGGACTTAGGCACCTATCTTGATGAGAGGGGAGGGGCTTAGTACACAACCCTCTCTTGAGCATCTCCCAATGGCTAGCTTAGGTGGCTCCCTGCCTAGCATGCTGGCTTTTGTGGATTGCATTTGAAGGCACCTGTCTCTCCCCATGCATTGTATTGGGAGCCTAAGTGCCTAACTCAGGCTTTGTGGATTGTAGCATGTTCCTGTGATTTTTCTAGTTGTCGCAATACTGAGCATTGTAATGCCTTTGTGGATCCAGGCCCTTCTGTTTTGGATGCAGCTCTCACCACAGTAATGTATGCCCGTATCAGCTTCATTTTGGAATGCTGCACTGTACTGTATGTGAGGGCACTTTAAGACTATTCAAACTACAGCTACTACAGAATGCAGCTTCTGACTTACTTAGTGATACTTCTTGCAGAAAGAATGTCACCCTGGAGCTCTTCATTGGCTTCCAGTTTATTGTTGGATGCAATTTAAATGGCTGATTAATAGCTGCTGTATAAAGCCCTGCATTGTGAAAGTCCTGAGTAACCCCAAAGCCTGAAACCTGTTGAGTTGGGTGAAGCACTCAAGCTAATGAGTCACTGGATTAATCAAGAGGGGGCTGGAGGCAAGGTGCTTTTTGATGAAGGGACCTCAAGTGCTTCCTTTTGTAGTGTGCTAAAGTCCTACTTTGTTGAATTCAAGTCATGCTCCAAAGCTCCAATTTTTCCCTTAAGCTTTTTTCTGCAGAGGGAAGTCTTCTAGTTTGGTTTTTTTATACTTTTGACATTTTACACACATGTCTAGAGTGACAGCTGCGTGTTCCGTAAGTAAGTTAGAAGAAATACATCTATATAATGAATATACATTTAATAAATTGTATATAAATATAAAAGTGGATTAATTTTACAGTTTGAAAAGTCAATTGGAGAACTCTTAAAACACAGTTTGCTTAAACTTGGACACAATCTTCTTGTAACACTACTTTACAGTTCTTATTTCCCCTTTTCCACCTTACACGTCAGTTTGTGTGAACGGAGATACTGCTTTTCAGGCGACCTGCAGTCCTATAGGGGGAGAAATAGATTTGATTTAGATCTCAGGAGCATTCAGGATGAATGAGTCTGCAAAATGAATTTCTCCTCCCTCGCCCTTTATAATTAAAAGGGATCCTCTCTCTATGTGGGCTTAGTGTTTAACTGTCTCCTCTGATATGCTGTTGCTTTTGCTCTGTAGGTGTGGGTGTGGCCCTGAGGAAAATGGGGAGCATGGCCAAACCAGATGTTTACATCATCAAGGATGGAGATACAATCACCATAAAAACAGAAAGCACCTTTAAATCTTCACAGCTCAGCTTCAAGCTGGGTGAGAAATGTGAGGAAAATACATTAGACGGCAGGAAAGTTCAGGTTAGTACAAGAGGTGTTTTTTTCACTGAATACACCCAGTCCACTGGAGTGGCTGGCTTACAGATATAAATGCTATTTAGGGACCCAGTCTCCCCCACTCTCTCTCATGTTGAGTAAGTACCCTGCTCTGTTGGTGGGTGGGGTACCCCTGTCATCACAAGCCCCATTGAAATCCATCAGTTTTTATGGACTAACCAGTCTACAAATGGTAAAATACTGAAACCAGATAAAGCCTGGTGTGTTTGGTTAATTATTTTCAGTTTGCATGGCCCCTGTGACGCACCTTGGGGTGATAAAACTGGCAGCCCTCCAGACCCATGTTAAAAATACCAAAGGCCAAATTTCACTTTCATTGAAGTTAATGTCAAAAAAGCCTTTTGATTTTTAACAGGAGCAGGATATGGTCCTACAACTAATCTGATGACACAATCTCACACACTTGAGTAACAAGTGGAATAACCTATATAGGGAGTAAATTAAATGTAACTCAGACTCCATATTCCCCGTCTTTACAAGAGTTCAAGTAGCTTCCAACTTGACTGATTAAAGGGACTATCCCTGGCAGCGCCGTATTATTGCCTAGGCCGACAAATTTATAGGGGCGGAAGCTCCCCTCCGCGCCCCGCCCCCCTGCTCCAGCTCACCTCCGCTTCCTCTGCAAGCGCTCCGCCGTGTCCTGTTTCTCTCCCCTCCCAGCGCTTGCGCCGCGAAACAGCTGTTTCGCGGGGCAGGGAGGGAGGGGGGTGGAGGGGGAACGCCGCGCACTGGGGGAAGAGGCGGGGCCGGGGGCGGGGATTTGGGGAAGGGATCCAATAGGGGAAGGGAGGGGGCGGAGTTGGGGTGGGGACTTTGGGGAGGGGGTTGGAATGGGGGCGGGAAAAGGGCGGAGTTGGGGTGGGGCCAGGGCGGTAATTATTTCCCGGCCTAGGGGCGGCAAAATTATTAATCCGCCACTGATCCCTGGGAGGAGGTGGCGGAGGGTGAAGAAAGATTATTCCCTCTCCATAGGATTCTCTCAGGCCAATTATCGCCTTGTGTGAATGCTGGCCACTTGCCAAGACCGTCCCACTCCTCACCTGTGCACTGGCAACCCATCTGCCAAGTGCAAGATTCAGATGTAGACGATACAAAAAGCCAAAGCACATGTATGAGGAGATGAACTTAGCACACTAAGCAGGTCTTGTTCACTTAAATTGTGCATGCTGTCAAAGTCATGTTTCATGTATAAATGTGCCAAAGCAGTGACTGAACAAGTAGCAAAGTAATGGAAGAAGAACAGGAGTCATGAGAAATGTAGAGTGAAATCCTGGCCCTACTGAAGTCAATGGCAAAACTCCCATTGGCTTCAGTAGGGCCTTGGAGTATAGTGTGGGAGTGTATCACCTCCACTCAAAGAGACCGAGTAAAATATGTAAGTCCTGCTTTTCTTTGCAGACTCTTGTCACCTTAGATGGTAACACACTGACTCAGCTCCAGGAGTGGGATGGCAAGGAGTCCACAATAACACGGAAGATAGAGGATGGGAAACTGGTGGTGGTGAGTGCATTCCTACTTTCTGATCATTGACTACTGCAAGACTGTAGACGATAGCAGGAATCTAACTTTAAAAGAGACTCAATCTATTATAAACTGCCATCTGCATCCCTGTATTCTGCAGTAATTTAGCCTATATCAGGGGTTCTCAACTTTTTTCTTTCTGAGGCCCCCCAATCTACTATAAAAATTCCATGGCCCACCTGTGCCACAACAACTGTTTTTCAGTAGATTAAAAGGCATTAGGGGGTAGCAAGCAGAACAATAGCCCAGGGCCTTATGCCACAGGGAACCCTGTGAAGCTAAATAGCTCGGGCTTTGGCTTCAGCCCTGGACAACGGGGCTTGGGATTCTGCTTTCTGCCCTGGGCCCCAGTGAGTCTGCTGGTCCTGCTCTCTGGTTTATTTTGGTGGACCCCCTGAAAGGTATATCTCCATATATTATTTATCTCATAGAACTGGAAGGGACCCTGAAAGGTCATTGAGTCCAGCCACCTGACTTCACTAGCAGGACCAAGTACTGATTTTGCCTGCCCCAGTTCCTTAGGTAGCCCCCTCAAGGACTGAACTCACAACCCTGGGTTTAGCCGGCCAATGCTCAAACCACTGAGCTATCCCTCCCCCCTGCTTGTGGCCCCCCCCCAGAGGGCCTTGCACCCCTGGTTGAGAACCACTGGCCCATACACTACTGAACTAATTTTTTTTTCCAGGAATGTGACATGAATGGTTGCAAGTGTAAGAGAGTCTACCAGAAAGCATGAGGACGTTGTCTCCATACTGGGTTGGAGCTTGCTACAAACCAGCTCAGTTTAGCGAACAAAGCTCCTCTACTCTCCAGGTTTTTCCTTTTCCCTGTTTTGTAGTATTTCAATGGACTGCACAGCTGTGTGCAATCATATTTCAAAGCGATGATGTAACTATTCTGAACGGTTGTGGCTGTTAAATAAAATTCTCAGACATATGAAGTGGAGCTGTTGTCAATATAGTGGAATTTTAAAGGTTTTCATTTTCAAGTGAAGATTTATAAAAGCTCATTAGTTATGCAGGGGAGCCTAAAATCAGTATTAAATCACAAATGATGGGGATATCATCTCACTGGAACAGTTAAGGTATAGTTAACAGCAAACTGCATTTTGGTTCAGCTATTCATATTTCATTGATGATAAAGGTAATAAAATTGTATCAAGTGGAACAATCATTGTTATGGTGCAGAATCTTTCTAACTGCTTTAAGATAGTGCCTGTTGCAAAAGTAGTAGAGTTGAACTGGTACAAACTGAGAGGAAAACTTCATCCATTGTGTTTAAACAGCTGAGCATATTTTTAGTTGGTTGCTTTCTGGTGAGAATCAACACCCCCTAACCCAAATAGTCAGCTAAAAAGTTAAAAGCCTCAATTTTACTTGCTCAAAACATTTGGTAATGCAGTTTATATGCTTACAAGCGCAATAATAAATTATCACAAATATTAATGTCTTGGTGGTTATTTTTTATAATGATTGGGAAGTGGTCAAAACAGATCCTGTGAAATTGCTATTCTACAAACTGTAGATTGTTTAGTGCTATCAGACTAGACTAACTTTTTTTCTGAAAGCTAAAACTGGCTGGTAAAATTTTTAACAGGATTCTAAATAGTAGGTTCAGAAGAATCTACAGAGTCATGTAATCTCTCTGCTTGCATTTTGCAGAACTAATCACTACCTCCTTCCTACTGATGTCTTAGCTAACCACTGCAAGTACTATCTGGTGTACTAACCAATTGTTCTATGTGTTAATGCTACCTAATATGGAACCTAAATTTTTCCTTCCATAAGATAAGAAGAAATGGCCTAAAGTTAACTTCTTATGAGTTTGTGAATAATCCCCTTTATTTACATTATCATCAGGTATTTATAGATGGATTGTAGTTCTCTCAAGATTATTTCCTAGATGCTTTCTTCATATGTTTCATATTTCTTGATGTGTTTTCTTGAACTGGCCCATCTTTGTATCATTTTGGTCCTTTTTTGTATTTTTCCTCAATTTTATTTTTTTTAAGCTTCCCTAACTGGTGAAGAGGAGATTTCTGTATGATGTATTCCACGTGGTGTGCCAGGACTACAGACCGGTATTATTACTTTCAAGTTTATTCAGTAGCATTGGTGCCACATGTATAAGCTATGACCCTGGATTTATGAAGTGAATTTCATCTCCCTGCACTCCACCCACATATAGGCCAAATACAACTCCTCAATGTGGGGGAAGTGAATTTCACCTCCTCTGCATTTGCCTGTCTAAGATTTTGGGCCAATAGTATAACATTTTTAAATACCAGTTGTGCACAGGCCTGTATTTATGACATATTCTAATACTGGAAAGATGTTTTTATAACTAACATGCAAATTTTGCCTCTGCCACATTTCTACAATAACTAGGTTATTAAACAGAAAGCTAATGTTGTGCCAATATGTAAAAAGGGTAAAGGCTAAAGAGGATGACCAGGGTAATATTAAGCTCTTTTGTCTGACATCAATCCTGGGCAAGATCATAGAATGTCAGGGTTGGAAGGGAGCTTAGGAGGTCATCTAGTCCAATCCCTCAAAGCAGGACCAATCCCCAGACCCCTAAATGGCCCCCTCAAGGATTGAATTTACAACCCTGGGTTTAGCAGGCCAATGCTCAAACCACTGAGCTATCCCTGGGCTCTAGGAGGGTAGGGGGTGTGAGTGTCTGGGCTGCGGGGGGGCAAAGCTAGACTCAGGGGGGGGTAGGATGTGTGAATGTCTGGGCCGGGGTGCCCACAGCTGGGCTCTGTGGGGGGAGGGAGCAGAGAAACAGGAACTGGGTTGTCATATGTGTTTCTATAACTCTCTACTCCTGGGTGAATTTTTGTGTATGTGTGTATTGTTTCAGACATACTTGTGACTGGTATTTTGAAATAAATTACCAAAATAATTGAAACTGGCGTGATTACATAGTGTTATTTTGACAAATAAAATTTGCAGAATTTTAAAATATTGTGCATAGAACTTTTAATTTTTTGGTGCAGAATTCCCCCCAGGAGCAGCAACCACTGCTGGAATATTGTGTCCAGTTCTGCTTTCCACAGTACAAGAAGGATGTTGATAAATTGGACAGGGTTCAGAGAAGGGTCCCTAGAATGATTTAAGGATTAGAAAACATGCCTTATAGCAATAGATTCAAGGAGCTCAATCTATTTAGCTTAACAAAGAGAAGCTTAAGGAGTGATTTGATTACAGTCTATAAATGCCTACATAGGCAACAAATATTTAATGATAAGCTCTTCAGGCTAGCCGAGAAAGGTATAACATGAGCCAATGCCTAGAAGTTGAAGCTAAACAAATTCAGACTGGAAATAAAGCATACAAGTTTAACAATGAGAGTAATTAACCACTGGGACAACTTACCAAGGGTCTTGGTGGATTCTCCATCCCTGACAATTTTTAAATCAAAATTGAATGTTTTTCTAAGATCTGCTCTAGGAATTACTTTGGGGAAGTTCTGTTGCATATATACAGGTCAGAGCAGATGATCACACTAGTTCCTTCTGCCCTTGGAATCTATGAAAAACAGCACAACATAATTGTTAATTTGGGATCACTGCTCTATTACTTTGTTGTTTGCACTGCTAACACCATGTAATATTTAATTGTTCACCTTTCATTTGAATAGAAAAAAGGTTTCCGTGTCTTTCATGGGACATCTGTTTCTTTAGTGATGAAGTTCCTTTTGATGGAGCAGGACACAGAGGGCTATCTGGTTTTATTTGTCTTGTTCTACAGCAAACTCCAGGTGCCTTCATAATAGTAAGCAGGTTGTGATCTGAAAATGTGCTTTCTTCCTGGTTACTGGTCAGGTGACTTATTTTACCATAATTACATGATTGTGGAAAGCCACCTCATTTTGAAAGAGGATGATATAAATGAATACAGCTGTAGAGCCTGAGTCTGCTAACACTTATACATGTGCTTATACATGTGAGTAGGCCCATTAACTTCAAAGGGAGACTTAAAGTTAAGCAGATGTGTAAATGTTTGCAAGGTTGGGGCCCTTGAAGACTAGATAATAGTGTTAAAATGGCACTTATGTTTGAGTTTTGAATTGTATGGTTTGTAATACTCAAAATTTGAAAATCAAGTTTCTTTCCAGTCTGATTTTATTCTCCATTTGATAAGCTAAGGTTTTCTCTTTTATAGCTCACATGCAAATATGACATATTGCCCTTAGTGCTAAAATGACTGATTTTGTCCTTGAATGTTGACTAATTATCCCTTGTTTACCACATCCCATAGGATGGCTAAAAAGCTAGAAGGAGCTACACTAACAGATCAAAAACAAGAAATAAGGCAATATCCAGTATTCCTTCATAGCACTGCTGAAGAACTATAAAGCATAGAAGCAAGTTCTGGCATGTCACTGTGGTTCCATCCTTGATGATAATTTTAGGGACAGAGAAAAAGTCTTCTTTTATTTTTTAATGTTTTTGTGGCTGTGGGAAGAAGGCAACTGTGGAGGGAACAAACAGTGCTGCTCTATTTATGGTTTCATGGTCTCATTAAAGGATGGAAATAAACTGGCATCAGTTCTGAGATGGCTGGAGGAGCAGCCTGTGATAGATTAGCATCAGCAATTAATTGTGATCAGGTCAGAGATTGGGGAGGGGAGTCAGAACTCTTAAAAGTATTAGATTTTGTGGAATGTTATGCATGTCAGTTCAGACTACCTGGCCACTCAAGACACAAGAAGGATGCCAGGACTCAGGTAACATAATTCATGGTAACTGTAAGAGGAAAAATTCAGTCATCCTAAGGAAAAATGAGTAATTAAATACCAATTCATGAAGCAATTCACTCCAAGGGACTCATTTCTTTTTTAAGTTGGAATCTAGGAATAACTGTCTTGCCACATCAAAATGAGTATTTCCATCTCCAAGTTTGCATGCATACATATAAATCAGTATCCCAACTATTCAAATGCTGCACCAAAATTCATGTAGTGCACCACTTTCTGTGAAGAAGCTGTCCTTAAATTTGAAAAGTGTTTCTCTTCTACCTGAGCATGATTTGGAAAAACAAGAAACTATATAGTAGGCTAGCTCCAGACATGAAATTTTGTAACTGCCCCCTTCTCCACTTGGGTATATGTTAGCACTGCTAATGTGAGCCTATGTATTGGCAGCCTTCAGCCCAGTGCACAGCTTACCAAATAGATTACTCTTTCCAGTAAAGGAATAATCCGCATAGGATGAAAGTGCATGGGACCATGTTAACATGCATGAAATGTCCTTTGGTCCCTCAGCTCAGTCCCAGAATGTCCTCCAGTGTTTCACACATGGAAGATTGGTGGAGAACATAAGAACAGCCATACTGGGTCTGACCAAAGGTCCATCTTTAGCCCAGTATCCTGTCTTTGACAGTGGCCAATGCCAGGTGTTTCAGAGGGAGTGAACAGAACAGGTAATCATCAAGTGATCCATCCCTATATCTCCTGAGGATTTGGAGAGAAGTCAGAATTCAAACCAACACATTTTATCCCATGATTCCTCTTCTGGTTTTGGCTTGTCAGCCCTTGCATGTCAAACCAGAATTTGGCCCACATGGCTTAGAATTTATTTACTTTTCTTTATTAGAGAGATAAAGGTAAGATTATTTGAGAGTGTCAAAACATAAATGTGTTGTGCTTACCTTTGTTTTCTGAATCAATTCTCACTAGCAAATGCTTTTAACTACTCTCTGGAGATATTTACAGGTGAAGTCAAAGTCAGTCAGAGGAGAGGTATAAAGTTTTAGCAATAAATGGAATTAAATCTAATTCAGAATCAGTTTCATATAGTGTCTGCAAAATCCATTGAATCCTAATTCTTTTACTTATAGTTCCAATTACAAAAAAACACATAAAAAGTTCCATAAAGCACAATAATAAAACTGTGAAACTAACCTGCCAGAAGGCAGACATGCTGTTATTATGCTAATGTTTAACACTTAATGAAGGGCTGGCCTCTATCACCTTTATGCATATTGTATAGTATCTTACTCCACAAGTAACCCCACTGCAATCATCAGTTGAAATCAGTGGGACTACTGACACAATAAGACACAATAAGATGCTATGTAACACCAGGAAGGGTGACTGAACCTGGCTCATAGTTTTCTGCACATTCAAAGTGCTAAACAGGAATTAAGGGCCAGATTGTGATTTTCAGCCATGGCTTGCATTACGGCATTAGGTATAGAGGTATAGAGGAGCTATGCTGCAGTGTGAACTCAGGAAAGAAATCTGGCCAACTTCCAGGATTCAGGTTCTGAGGGAGTACGTGATGGGCCATCAGTCCCCAAACCCTGTAGAACAGAGCAGCATGAACTCTCCAACCTGCTTGATGGCCCAGAACCAAGATCCATTGACCAGCATTCTCTCACCCTGTCCTCTCCACCTTTTGAAGGTGTTAATTCCCAGAAGCCCTGGGAATGCAAGG